GGCGGTCACCCCCAGGAGTCGCCGTCGCCGGATGCGGGGAGGACAATAAACGGCAAGACAATAAAGGGCTGCGCGGCGCAAGCGGCGCGACTACGTCGCGACCGCACTCAACAAATTCGAAGGCGCAAGGGCCTCTCCGACCCGCCGTATGGCCCTCCATGCCCGCCGACGAAGGCGGCGAATTCCATCTGGGGGGACTGGAGCCAATCCAGGGGCGCCCAGAGGCGAGGCGGTGATTCGCACCATCCGCGGTGGCGGCCGCTGTTGCTGTGTCTCCGTCCTCCGCCCAGCGCCACAGCCCATGCAACCCCGATCCCTGCCTGCATGGTCAACGTAGCTCGGATGGGGCCACTAAATGCTGGGCCAGAGTGCTACCGTTCCCGAAGGCCGTGTCCGAGCTGCGGCATTTCTGGGCGAGCTGCGTGAGACGCGTCGGTCAGCAGCACCTGCCCACGCGGGCCTACGCGCGGCAATGAACGCTAGACAGATGTGGAGCCGCAAGCTCAGGCGCGAAAGCTGTGGCAGAGCTGCGGCGCCGCATGGCCAGCGCAGCTCGGCTGAACTGCGGCAGTGTTGCGCACGAGGGGGCTGCGCCAGAACTGCGGCGCCACGGGGGGGGGGGCGCGTGAGACGCGTCTACGTTGACCTCGCCCGCGCTCCAAGGCACGCGGGGCACAGAACGCAAGACAGGGGTGGGACTGCGAGCTGGCGCGCGAGGACTGCGTCAGCTGCGGCGTTGCGGTAGTTTTTGGTCGGGGCGGTCGGGGGCCACGCTCGTCGAAGAAAGGGGCTGGCGCAAGAGGCCCCCCACGCACCCACTATTCGTCCTGAGAGGTCAAGCCCCCGGTCGTGGCCACGAAACCCTCGGCCGCCGAAGCGGGCGAGAGGCTACCATGGGCACGACGGGGGGTCGACCCGAAGCGCGCCGTGGCAGGAGACGCGAGCATGACAACGCCGCGGCGGCGCAGGCCTTTCCCAGCGAATGCCTTGGCCTGCGTCTGGACACGCGGGCCGCAGGTGCTCTCTTGTGGCCGTTGGCCAAGGAGCGCCCTGAGCCGCCGCGCGCGTCAGCAGGCATACTGAGGCTCACGGGGGATCGCACTGACAACTGTGGATGGTAGGCGTCGCGCGCAGCAGTACGCGCGCTGCGCTTGACTGGGGCCGAAGCAGCGGCATTTTGCAGCGCCTCTCTGGCCTGGCAACTACCAGCAGCCGGCAGCAGCCGCCTCTCTGGGAGGCCGCCTCTCTGGGAGGTATCAGGATGGAGGGGATGGTGGAGTAGCGCAAAGTCCGAGCGAAGGCAGGTTTGAGCAGCGCGCTGGCAATGCCTCGCTCTTACGTCGTGTGTTGGCTGCCTGCGCACATGCCCCTCCATTTGTCCTCCTCTTCCTGACTGCTGTCCTGATCCCATGCTTTGTGTCGCCCACCTCGTTCTCGAATCTGTCGTGTCCCCTGCGGCCTCAGACTCCCCGTGCCTTCCTCGCCCTCTGGTCTCTCCAGCGGCTCCCCGTGGCCCGCGGCACGCGACGCGGTGGAAGAGAAGACAGAGTGAGCAACGGAACCTTGCACGGGCACCCGCGCAGTGCGCGGCGCGCCGGCCGCAGGAGCAGGAGCGCGAAAGTGCACGCACACCCTGACCAAACAGGGCCGCGCGCAGACGCGCGCGCCGGCCCCGTCGCGGGGCGCTGCGGCTCGGCGCACGGGCCCCCCCCCTGCGCGCCTGCCCACTGACCCGGGGCGCAGCAGGAGGTGGAAAGATAAGGCCTGGTAGAACACGATGCACTGCATGCTGAGAGAGAGGGCGCAGAAAGCTGAAGTGAACAGGTAGAACAAGATGGAAATGAACAAATAGATCGATTGAGAGGTCGTCGGGATAGTCATCAAACACGCACCAGATCAGCCCAAACAGAGAGATCGGCGATGATCAACAATCTATCCTTCAAAGAATACCAGCGCGCGTGCATCCACTGGGCGAGCATGTTGCGTTCGGCCCTGCGCGGACATGGCGGCCCGACGGACACGTGTCGGAGAGCTCTGTGAAGATCGGCCCCATGGATCGTCAGGCCGGACTCAACTGCAGGTTCAGACCGCAATCAGACCACTAGACTTGCGGCGCAGACCGACAGGGCACGCCATTGGCGAGGGGCCGCCAGGCCGTTGAGCCGGTCAACGAGGCCTCACTGGAGGCACTCCTCCGCCGAAAGGCAGCCCAGCAAATGGCAGCGCGCTGGCCGAGTCACGTGCCAAACCCGCAGCAGGTTGCATGCCGCCGAAGGTAGATCGCGCCGGGCGGTGAACGCACAGCTGAGTGGCGGCGTCGGAGAGGTAGCACTGGCCGCATCGGCCGACACGCGTCTCAACTGTTTCTATCCGCTGGGGTGGTGGTGTGGCTGAGTAAGTGAATCGAGGTAGAGATGCAGAGAAAAGGCTCGCAATATGGTAAACGAGCGTACTGACTGAAATCGCACGCCAGCTGGCCCGGCCCGCATAAGGTCCTTCTGCGAGCTGCATCCCGTGTGACCCAGCTGATTGTAGCCTGAGCGCGGTTGGGAGAAACTAACATCGGTGCCAGTAGGCACTCTGAGAAGTGATTTGGGCCGAGCTCGGCCAGACGCAGGCGCGCTCGGCGCGCCAGCCCGCGCGCGCTAGGGCGCGCAACCGGGCACGACACCGCCCCGGCATGCATAGCACAGCGCACGGTTGGACACAGGCGTGGCATGCCTCTGCCTTCGCGCACGCCCACGCACACAGCTGAACATGTAAATGCCCAGCGTGCGCTGCAAGGCGCGTAGGTGCGCGCGGGCATAGCGCGGCGCGCGCGCTAGCACCGCTGGGCACAGACCACGCCCCAGCGCGAATAGTGCGACGCCTAGGAAGGCCGAGGCACAAGACACCGTGCTTGCGCAGCTGCATCAGTGGGCATGGATGATGCACTGGGCTCGCCGCGCATCAGATGGGCGCAAGTACGTGGCATGCACCGCGAGGCCTGCACTGACATTGACACCGCGCGGGCGTGCTGCCCACCAGCGAGTCCTGGGTGATAGGGCAAACCACTGACATGAAAACCGCGCAACCTTCCTTGTCCCAAGCTGCCGCGGCAGAGGTTGCACAGTTTGCCGCGTGGCCGCGTGCCTGGACCGAACGGCACAGCGCAAGGCGCAAACGTGGTCTTGCGGCCCAGGGTACAGCAAACGCGTCAGCGCACCTGACGACGCGCACTCTGCCCATCGTGCGTCCGAGCGCCAGGGCGCACAGCATATGCCAGAACGTGGAACAACAGGTGCTGTTGTCAAGTGAGTGGCGCGACTCTGCCCCGCCTGCTTGACAATCATACTCGGCACTGCTACATTGCTGAGTAAGAGAAGGGGCGGCGTGGCAGCAGTAAAACTGGCAAATGGTCGCCGTGCCCAGGGCCGCGCGCGGCGTAGCACGCAGGCTGGGCTTCCAGGGATGACGCAGCACGGCAGCAGTAGGTACCCGCGTCATGCCTCGATGCCTCATCTGCGTAACCGACGTGCTGGCTGCATCTGGACGTGGTGTTTGCAGTGTTCTCTGGATGCGCGTCTGGCCAGCTGCGGCCCAAAGTCGGGACAAGAACATGCATCGGCGACATCAGGCTGGTGATAACAAGCGTGCTGCCCCCGATCGCCAACATGGAGATCCTCCTCGGAACGATTCCCCCACGATGAGAGCTGCGAAAACGCCTTGGGGCCCGGACCTGCGCAAGGACGAGCACCCGATGAAAAAAGGTGGTGGTGAAAATGGTGCATTGGCGTTAAGTGATCCACCCGAATGGCGCGACGTGCCCGCATCGAGGACAGCCAGCACAGTCGCACACATCACGAGGCACGGAGGGAAGAGTTCCACCGCCATTCCCGGCGCGAAGCTACGGCCAGTACCTGTGGGGTGCGATGGGTCGTGGGAGACGTCGAAGCCGTTCCAAGGCATTGGCCCCAGCGTGACCTCTGAGCGTCCAGGGCTAGTTACGAAGCTTAGTTTCCTTCGGGAAAACACCCATGAGCACAAGCTGTTGCTCGGAGGCATGGAGGGTGGATCAAATGAAAAGACGGAGGAGAGTGCGAAAGCGCGCCCACATCGTACTATGCGCAGTCCCGTGGATCGCGAGCTGGGATCGTTCCCACCCCAACTACCAACTAGAAGTGCGGGTGGCAAGGGTGAAGGGTGGAAGACATGGCGAAAATGGAGGTAGCAAAGCGTATGCCCCTTTTCCCCTTCAATGTACAATTCCGCGTGCACGCCGTAAGCCAGAATGGAAGCAGCGCGCACGGGCTCCTATTGTGGCGAGGAGGATGAATAATAGTGGGAGGGGGAGGAAAGGGAGGAGGAGGAGGAGGAGGAGGAGGAGGAGGAGGAGGAAAAGGAAGAGAAGGGATATGGACGTGGAGGAGGAGGGGGAGCAGGAGGAGGGGGGGAGGGCGGGAGGGAGGAGCAGGAGGACGACGACGACGACAACAACGACGACGACAACGACGACGACGAAGACGACGACAACGACAACGACGAAGACAACGCCAACGACGACGACGACGACGACGACGACGAGGCCAACGACGAAGACAACGACGAAGACAACGACGACGCCAACGACGACGACGACGACGACGCGGGAGGACGGCCCAGCGCTCTGCTGGGAGGCGCCAGAGGAGGTCCTGCAGCACGCCCAGGGCGGCCTGCAGGAGCTTCTGCGTCTCCCTCTGGTCGGCCACCTCGGGGGGGCGCCGCCGGTCGTCGTCGTCGTCGTCGTCGGTCGTCGTCGTCGTCGTCGTCGTCGTCGGTCGTCGTCGTCATCGTCGTCGTCGTCGTCGTCGTCGTCGTCGTCGGTCGTCGTCGTCGTCGGCGGCGTCATCAGAGCCCCATTGTGGCACGAAAAGAGGCTGGGCGCAGGAGGAGGGCCAGAGGAACAACTACGGAGTGTCCTGGGGAACAGCGAACCCCGTCTGAACCCGAAGCGGTCCTAGTTTCAGCGTCTTGACTGTGGGGCGCGGATGACGAATGTGGAAACGAGAAAGCGGGAGGAAACGAATGACGAGGACGAGGCAACGGAGAGGAGGCAGGACGGGGTGTGGAGGAGCAGGATGGGGATGAGCTCCACAGCTCTGTCCAAATAGAACACCAATGGTGGCATGACGAAAACAGAAGTGAAAATAGGACCACGCTGAGGAAACGAAAACTAGTTGGGGTGAAGCTCGAGAATGCGAGAAAACAAACAATATAGAAAACGTTTATTGGAAATCCAGGATTTCGACCTCTTCGGGCTCTCTCGAGACGCCTCTTGGAGCTCTCTTGGGGCGTCTTGAAGGCCTCTTGGGCTGTGTATTTGCCGTGTTGGGCACATCTGAGACCACGTTGGTGCCATCAGGGCCGTCTTGGAGCGTCTTGGCGCCTCCCGCTCGCGCTCTGTGGCCCAGCTTGGGCCTGACCTGGGGCTCTCTCTTGGGCCGTCTGGGCTCCTCCTGGGCAATTTTCAAACTCCCTTGTGACGTCTCGGGGCTCTTTTGGGGCCTCTTCGGCGGTTTGGGGGGCGTCGTCGGCCGTCTTGGAGCGTGGGAAGGTAAACAACGCGAGAAACGGAAACATTTATTTGAAAAAACAAATAAAAATCTAGGATTTCGACCTCTTCGGGCTCTCTCGGAATGCTTCTCGGAACTGTGTTGAGGCCTCTTGAAAGCCTCTTGGGCTGTGTATTTGCCGTGTTGGGCCCATCTGACGCCACGTTGGGGCCATCAGGGCCGTCTTGGAGCGCCTCGGCGCCTCCCGCTCGCGCTCTGTGGCTCAGCTTGGGCCTGTCCTGGGGCTCTCTTGGGCCGTCCAGGGCTCGTCCCGGGCAATTTTCAAACTCCCTGGTGCCATCTCGGGGCTCTTTTCGGGGCCTCTTCGGCGGTCTTGGGGCGGTCTTGGGGGCGTCGTCGGCCGTCTTGGAGCGTGGGAAGGTCGAAAACGCGAGGACCCGAAAAATTTAAAAAAAAAAAAAAAAAAAAAAAAAAAAAAAAAAAAAAAAAAAAAAAAAAAAAAAAAAAAAAAAAAAAAAAAAAAAAAAAAACGATTTGGGCCTCTTCGGGCTCTCTCGGGATGCTTCTCGGAGCTCTCTTGAGGCCTCTTGGAAGCCTCTTGAGGTGTGTACTTGCGGTCTCGAACCTACCTTAGGCCACGTTGGGGCTATCTGGGCTGTCTTGGAGGGGCTTGTCGAAGTCCCCGAGGGCTTCTGGGAGCTCTCTGGGGCAGTCTGGGAGCTCCAGGGCCGCTCTGGGGTGCTCTGGGAGCGGTCTGGGAAACCCCCGTCCTCCCATGCCCCCCCGTGGCCCGGGCCCAGGGCGCCCGGGCCTACACACACACACACACACACACAGCTTCGTGCGCTCAAGTTCTAACTAAGCCCGATGGGCGAACACATGGAATATCATCCGTTTCTTGCGTCCAGAAACTCTCTTGGAGGCCCTGCGCAAGCCTTGGAAACGTATGAGAGGGGGAACCGCGGAAACGCAAAAATCATTCGTTGCCGTTGGGTCTTCAACAATTTGGGGCCCTCGAAGGTTTCCTGGATTCTTTGCTGGGGCCTTATTTGTTGTTTGCTGTGCAAGAAAAGACAGGGGGGCGAACTTGGAAAGAAACGGAATGGTGGAATCTCCTCTTTTCTTTCAAGTTATAGTGCCTGGGCTGTGGGTTAGACGTTTTCTGCGTGCAGGCCACGGTCTGTTGGGATGCCTCCCGTGGTTTTCGTGTCTTCGTGCCAAGATAAGCAGGGGGTGAGTTTGAAAAAAAGGAATTCTGAAATTCCACTGCTTCAACTCATGGGATCGTGGATCTCGAGTTCTACAATGGTTTCAAGGGCTGCCGAGAGGACACGAGACGATCCAAAAGAGTGCCAAGAGTCATAGAGTTCAACAGCACTCCTGAAACACGTTTGCATGTGACCCCGAAGTCTTGTGGGGCTCGAGGAAGAGGATGGGGAGTAGGAGTCCCAACTTGAAAATAAAAGAGAATATGTGGAATTCCCTTTTTTCAAATTCCTCGGTCTTGGAGAGTTGGAAGCGGGAACACGTGAGAACGCGAAAAACGTCGACAAAAAGAACTGGAAAGCAACGGTTTCACCCTCTTCGGGCTCTTTCTGGGACGGCTCTCGAAGCTCTCTTGGGTTGTTTTGGGGGCTTCGTCGGAGTTTTTTGGGGGGCCTCTCAAGGGTCTGGGGTGTGTTGGAGGCCTCTCGGGGTCCCAGAGTCCTCTCAGAAGTCTCTGGTTGGGCTCGTATTGGGCCTGTTCTGGGGTGGTCTGGAGCTGTCCTGGGCGCCTCTGCGGCAGTCTAGGGACCGTCTTGGTCCGTCATGGGGCCGTGTTTGGGACCTCTTGGGCGGTTCGGGGGCGGTCTTAGGGGCCTCTTCGGCCGTTTTGTTGGAAGCATGAAATGGTGAGAAGGCTAAGCATCCTGAAAAGCAATAGTGACAATCAACGTGTTTAGGTTCTCTGGGCAGTCTCTTGGAAGCCGCCTGGGAGCCTGGAGAGCTGCCCGAAAGCTATCCTGGGTTGCTTGGGAGCGTCTTGGGCCTTTCTTTGACGTTCTGGGGGTTTCTTGGGGTCGTCCTGGGCTGTCCTTGAGCGTTTTGGGGATTCCCTGGGAGGTCGGGAAGCGCGGCAAAAGGAGTGTTCCGCAGATGTTCTGGGAAGGTTAGAACCCCTTAGAAAAGGGGGCGCGTTTTTTTTTACATCTGGAATTCCTTGTTATTTTGAAATTCCTCGGTCTTGGAACGTTGGAACCGGGAAAACGTGAGACGGCGAAAACACGTCGACAAAAAGCACTGGAAAACAACGATTTCACCTTCTTCGGGCTCTCTCGGGACGGCTCTCGAAGCTCTCTTGGGCTGTTTTGGAGTTCTCGTCGGAGCTTTTGGGGCGGCCCCTCCAGGGTCTGGGGTGCGTTGGAGGCCCCTGGGGGGTCCCGAAGTCCTCTCGGAGGTCTCTGGCGGCCTCCTGCTCCTGCTTGTGGGCTCACCTGGGGCCTGTTCTGGGGTGGTCTGCAGGTGTCCGGGGCGCCTCTTCGGCAGTGTTGGGGCCGTCTTGGCCCGTCGTGGGGCCGTGTTGGGGGCTTCCTGGGCGGTTTTGGGGCGGCCTCGGGGGCCTCTTCGGCCGTCTTGGAGCGTTGGAAGCACGAAGCGGTGAAGGGGCCAAAAACCGTTTGACAGAACAATGAACGTGACAGATTTCGGGTTCCCCGGGCGCTCTCGGGAGCTCGTCGGAGGTTTCTTGGAAGCCGCCTGGGAGCCTGGAGAGCCGCCCGAAAGCTATCCTGGGTTGCTTGGGGGCGTTTTGGGTCTTTCTTTGACGTTCTGGAGGCCTCTTGGGGTCGTTTTGGGCTGTCCTCGGGCACTGCGGGGGCCCCCCGGGAAGCCAAGAAGCGCGATGCCGGGAACGCAGTCGAGATGTGACCGAAGTGGAGGACGCCCCGGGAGGGGGCCCGCCGCACTTGTTATACTATGAATATATATATATATATATATACACACACACACTAGAACCATCGCGCGCTTCGCGCGCGCTTTGGTTCTAGCCGAGATCACGGCAAGGCCCTGGCAGAAGTGTCAAGGCAGGCCTTTTCTTCTGTGTGTATATATATATATATATATATATGTCCGCCCTCCCCCCCTCCCCCCCTCCTTCTCCTCCTCCTTCTTCTCTTATTCCTCCTCCTTCGTCCTCTTCCCCCCCCCTTCCCCGCCTGTCTCTTTCCTCCGTTTCCTTGGTTCCCTTCCTTCTCCTCCAGCACCTCCTCCTCCTTCCTCATTTGCTTCTGCTTCTCCTACACGTTCTTCTCCTCTTCCTCTTCCCTCTCCTCCTTCCCCCCCCTCCCCCTCCTCCCCCCCCCTCCTCCTCCTCCTCCTCAATATCCTCTGCCCTTCCTCCTCCTCCTCCCCCCCCTTCCCTGGTCTGGGCGCCTCCCGATCCGGGCGCCCTCCCAGGTCCGGATACCTCTGGGAACCGTAGGCCCCGCGACCCCTGAAGTCGGCCCCGGGAGTCCTCCGAATCCTTCGGTCCCTGGACGCTCCTGACCTCTAGGGTCGAAGATCCTCAATGGCGGCCCCACGACCCATCGGCTTCCGAGACTCTTCGGCCCCACGACCCGCGGAGCGACGAGGAAGGACACGCGGCAGAAGCAAGGGAGAGAGAGGGAGAAGTCGAGGGGAAGCAGGAGGAGGCGGAGGAAGAAGAGGGAGAGGAACAGGAATAGGAGGAAGACCAGCCAGAGGAGGAGGATCAGAGGAAGGAGGAGGGGGGGAAGGGCCGCCCAGGAGGGATCAGGCGCTGGAGCAAGGGGGCGGGGCTCACGTTCCCGGGAGTCTTCCTGGGAACATCTCGCGCGATAGGAGGAGGAGGAGCCCGAGAAAGAGAAGGAGGGGAACGAGAAGGAGGACAATATCGGCGAGGTGGAGAATGGGAGGCACGCGGAATTACATTCCCGGGAAGCTCCCCGAGAACATATTTCGCGACAGCAGGAGGAGGAGCCCGAGAAGGAGGAGGAGGAGGAGGAGGACAAGAAGGAGGAGGAGGGCTAAGAGCAAGAGGAGGAATCTCGCGAAGGAGGAGGAGGAGGAGGAGGAGGAGGAGGAAGAGGAGAGGGAGGAGCAGGAGGATGAGAAGGACGAGGAGGACAGACACGCAGGACAAGGTGAGCGGCAGGAAGAGAAGGGGGAGCAGGACGAGCAGGACATAAGGAGTAGGCGGAAGGGAAGGAGGGTTAGGAGGAGAAGAAGGGGAGCGGGAGGAAGGGAGGTTCAGGGGGAGCAGGAGGAGGTAGAAGAAGGACAGGGGGAGGTGCAGGAGTAGCATGTTGAGCAGCCGCATCAGGAAAAAGACATGAGAAGAAAGTCGAAGAGGCAGGGTGGCGAAGAACAAAAGAAACACTCAAACGCAAACAAAGAAATTATGTTCCCGGCAGGCGTTCCAGGAACGTACTTCGAGAGACCGGGAGAGAGCTCCACAAGCAGGTGGGTAAGAAGGTGGAGAAGGGGAGCGGGAGGAGGGGGAAGGGGGAGGTGCGGGAGTAGCATGAAGAGCAGCCGCAGCAGGGGGAGGATCATGGAATGACGATGGAGCAGGGCGGCGAAGAACAAAAAAAAAAAACTCTGAATGCTGTTCCTGGCAGTTCCGGGAATATGTTTATATTTCCTGAGACCGGGAGAGAGCTGGACAACCAGAAGCAATGAGGAGCAGGAAGGCGATAAGGCGGACAAGAGGCAGGGTGAGACGCAGTTTTTCAAGTCTCTTAAGGGTATGCTCTGGTGTATCTCGGGGCCTTTTTTAGCCTCTGGGGCGGCCTGGGCATGTGGAGGGCCTCTGTGAGTTTTTTTTCCGCCTCTCGTGGTCCGTGTCGGAACTCCTTTGGGCCGTTTTGGGGGCCTCTTGTGCCGTCTTGGGGCCCTCTGGGGCCGTCGTGGAGGCCGCTTGGACCTCTCTGGGGCCGTCTTGGTGCGGTGTAGGAGGCGTCGTGGGCCGTCTTGGAGCGCTCCGGGGCTGGTTTTGGGCCTCCGTCCGAAGGTCAACAAGATGTCCGGGGTCGCCGCTGCCGCCTCGTAGGCTCTGGAACGCCGAAACCCTGTAAGAACACACGGAAAGTGAGCCCCGGAGCCCCCATGGGGGGCGCAGGTCCACTCCTTTTTTTCCCTCACGACGACCACGGCGGCTGGATGCCTCGACAACTTCGCATGGCCACTGCCCCCGGACATGGAGGGAAGCCGGGCTGCGTGGGCAGCCGACCACCAAAGAATACGGAGACGTTATCAGGCACGTGGCAGGGACAGCGAAAGAGCACCCGTGACAATTATTGCCCGGGGGCCAGGGCGGAAATGTTACTTAAGACCGGGTTTTTCGTTAGGCGCGAGGAGGGAGACGAGTGAGGAGGACGACGCGAAAGGAGGAGAGGGGGAGAGAGGCGGAGGAGAAAAGAAGTGCAGCGGCGACACCTGTGGATTACCCTACAGGGCCACCCGAAACACAGAAGAGGAAAGAGCCAACATCGGGCCTGCGAACATGCACGCCAGAAAATATCCGACGGGCCACAAAAGCCACGCACGTATGGCGGCCTGGGCGCGAAGCCATTCCTGAAGTAAAGTGTAAAGTCTTCGGTTGACGGCGCGACGAAAGAGGGAGAAGAGGAAGAAAGAAGCGACAAATCTGACTACTGCTCGCGCTGCCGGCGCCGCGCCACGCGCAGCAGTGACTCCAGGGCAGGGTGCCCGCGGGCACCCTCCCGCAGCATGGCCGGCAGAGCGCCCGCGGCCTCGGCGACTTGCAATGACCCTGACCGAACTGACGCCTGTACACGATAAGCGGCATACACGGTGAGAGCGCGCAGCATCGTTGCGCGCTCTCTGGAGCAACCAGCGTCACGCCGAATCAGAGTCGAATGCCCCAAGTTCAGGAAGCAAGCCAACCTGTCCTCCGCGGCTGGGGCCGCCAGCCCCGCGTGCTGGCGGCAGAAGCTGTGGTACGTCGCGCAATCGCTGTAGTGCTCGATGCTGTCGTTCCCACGCCCGCACCCCAGAAGACAGCCGGCGCGCCCCTGGAAGCGGCGAGCAGTGCACCAGCCGTTAAAGGCAGTCCGAATGAAGGCCGCGCCGATCCTCGGCGTGCCTCTGGCGGTGAGGACCCTGCAAACTGATATCATTCTGGCGGGGCGGCGACCGGCAGGAATAGCAAGAGGCCATCGGTCAAGCCGTTGACGAGCGTGCGGGAGCGCCGCGGACACGCGCGGTCTTCCTCGCGTCCTCGTCGAGCGGGTCGGCTTCCAGAAGGGAGACAGCAACCCCTCTGGATCGTTCGGCTGCCGTCACCGCGTCCGCCGCCTCGACGAGCCTACGCAGCGAGCAGCTCCCAACCCATGCTATAACACCAAGGCTGACACCGTCCGCACCCGCGCTGCTCAATCGGCCGAGCAGCCGCTCGGCTCGGTCCCGCGCTCGAAGGCCCCCATTGACACGGTCCTCGTAGTGGCAGGTCCGTGCGGCAGCAGCAGTCGCCCGCGAGGCCAGGGAACTGAACTCGCAGCCCATGCCCAAGTCCACGAGCGATTGCAGAACGCCCGGGGTCACCCAACCCGCCGGCCCAGGCACGAGCCGGAGGAGGGCGCAGGTCCACTCCTGGCGGCCTCGGACAGTGAGCCCGGAGCCCCCATGGGGGGCGCAGGTCACTCCTGGCAGCCTCGTTCCTGTTCCGAATGCATATATATATATATATATACATACATACATACATACATACATACATACATACATACATACATACATAATACTAAAACCAACAAACAATGATTGTGTCAGGGAGCCGGGGCCAGGCCAGGCAGTGGGGTGTTTTTTGATTAAGAAAGCACAAAATCGGGACATAACTGTGTCAGGGGACCTGGGCCAGGCTGGGCAGGGCGTTGTTGCTTGACCAAGAGGACACGAGATCGGGAGAGAACTTACTCAGGCGACTTGGGCCAGGCCCGACCGCGGGTGAATTGTTTGTTTAAGAAGACACCTGATCGGGACAGAATTGTGCCAGGGGGCCGGGGTCAGACCTGGGGTGCTAATTGTTTGAAGAACACCAGATTGGAACAGAATTGTGTTCGGGAGCTGGGGCCAGGCAGGGCAGGGAAGATTTTAGGTGAAAAAGAAGACAGCAGATCGGGACAGAATTGTGTGAGGGGACTGGGGCCGCACCCGCCCGGGCCAGGCCAGGCAGGGGTGTTGTTTGATCAACAGGAGTGCAACCCAGCAAACCCAATCAATTTTTTCGGGGGGATGGTCCACGGACCCCACCCCACCCCACCCAACGCACGCATACAATTCGCAGAAACGGGAACGTGCGAATGAACATGTTATTACTCCCGTCCCGAGGCCGCCCCGTCAGGAACTCAAAAGGGTACCAGCCAGTAGCCCCATTTGAAATCCGCTTGGGAGGTGTCCAACGGACCGCCTGCGGCCCCCCCCCATAAGAAATTGAGGGCGTTCCCTTCTCCCGCAGATCGGGACAGAACTGTGTCAGGGGACCGGGGCCAGGATGGCCTGGGTGTGTTGTATGTTTAGAAGGACACCGGATCGAGACATAACCCGCCGGCCCCTTTTGTGGGGCCACCAGGCTGTAGGACGAAGCTTCGCAGTTTCCTGTGCCAGTTGCAGCTTCCAGTTTCCACTGTTACAATTCTGCTTCTTGCTGCTTACTGTCTGCTTCTTGCTGCTTACTGTTCCTTGTTGATGGACCGCGCGAGGGGGGGAGGCCCAAAACGAGCATTTTTCCCACGCCCAAATCGTATGCTCTGAATTGCTGGGGTGGGTAAAAATTGATACCCCTCACGCAGATCGGCGGGGTCAGGATCCTAAACCACATGGGATTTGCCACATTTCTCAAAATTCGGTGGCACCGCTCACGCAGATCGGCGGGGTTAGGGTCCAAAAACATATGGGATTTGCCACATGTCTCACATTCGGTGGCACCCCTCAAACAGATCGGCGGGGTCAGGGTGCAAAAACGCAAAGGGTTTGCTACATTTCTGACATTCGGCGGCACCCCTCACGCAGATCGGCAGGGTCAGGGTGCAAAAACAGAAACGATTTGCCACATGTCTAAATTGGGTAACACCCCTCACGCAGATCGGCGGGTTCAGGGTCAAAAAAACATAAGGGATTTGCCACATTTCTGAAATTCGGTATCACCCCTCACGCAGATCGGCAGGGTCAGGGTCCAAAAACACAAGGGATTTGCCACATGTTTGAAATTCGGCGGCACCCCTCATGCAGATCGGCAGGGTCAGGGTCCAAAAACATAGGGGAATTGCCAGATTTCTGAAATACGGCGGCACCCCTCACGCAGATCCGTAAGGTCAGGGAAGTCGCGGAAGAGTCTTCTAGGAGCCCTCTTGGAGCAATCTTGAGATCCTCTTGGGGCGTCTTGGAGCTTTTTCCGCCCGTCTTGGGCCTCTGCGAAAAACTCCCTTGAGCCCTGTTTGGAAGCGTCGTTGGGCTGTCCTGGTCTGTCGTGAAGCCTTTCGGGGGCGTCGGAGTCCCGCGCAGCTCTCTTGGATTCATCCTGAGCGGAAAGGGATGGCACAACGACTACAAACAGGACCGCCGCATGGCTGGACTCATGCTGGTCGCCTGGATATCCTCGTGGGGCCCTGGGGCCATCTTGGATGCACCCTGGGGCCCCCCTCGGGCTGCCCTTGGGCCCTCTTAGGCGACGTTAGCAACGCCTTGGGTTTTTTAAGACAGCCTTGTTGGTCTGGAGCAACATGCAGCAAGCAATGCCTGCGGTGCGAACGGCAATGGGTCCCCCTGCTATGTGCGGGTGTATCCCACTGCCATCTCACATTTCCGCAGAAGCTACGCGCCTGGCGGTGCCCAAACAGCCTGTGCAGCAAAGCTACGCGCCTACTCGCTGCAGCAAATGGCAGGATGAAAAAGACGCGGAGGCGCAATGCCGCGAGAAGAAGAAAGGAGAGAATCAGCAACATTGTGGGGAACTCTTTGGAGCATCTATGACAGTGCTGGTGCTCACCACAGATCGATTGGAAGCGGTCTTGGCCGTTGCCGGGAAATCTGGTGCGCACCTTCTGTGCTTGCAAGAAACCCGGCACCCCCAGGGGGCTTTCGGTGGGCCACGGAGCTCGCTGGTCGGGCGGGGTGGCGGGGCCAGTGGTCTGCTGCCCCCCCTCCTACTGCTCGTCTTCCTCCTCCCTTCCTCCTCCTCCTCCTCCTCCTCTTCCGTATCATTGTCATTAGCATGTTCATCATCATCATCATCAGCAGCAACATCATTGTCATCATCAGCATCCGCATGCTCGTTGTAGCTTTACAAATATCCGTAGCAGCAGGGAGTGATACAAATAGTTCGAGTAGTAAGATCAACAACAGCAGCGCCGTAGTAGTCGTAGCAGTACCAGCAGCAGTAGCAGTAGCAGTAGCAGTAGGAGCAGTAGTAGTTCTAATAGCTGTGCTCGTTGGTTCTTCCCCCCGAGCCTCCTTATCACCCGAAGGGTGGTCGTATAGGTAAGCGCTGTAGTTGCATTAACACCAGTAACAGTAGTGGTAACGATAGTAATACATGGGAATAAGAATAGTAGCATCAGCAGTACTGAGTGTGGAGTAATAATGATAGTAGCAGTTGTTGTTGTATCAGCACCCGTAGCAACACCAGTAGCGATAGTAACACATGGAAAAAGGATTCATAGCATTATTATTAACTGTACTTGTACTAGCACCAGTGAGAGCAGCGGAAAACGGTAGTAACAAATAGGAGTAGTAGTGGTAGTAGCAGTAGTAGTAGTAGCAGCAGGAGCAGTAGTAGTAGTAGTAGTAGCAGTAGTCGTAGTAGTAGTAGTAGTAGTAGTAGCAGTAGTAGCAGTAGTAGTCGTAGTCGTAGTCGTAGTCGTAGTCGTAGTCGTAGTCGTAGTCGTAGTCGTAGTAGTAGTCGTAGTAGTAGTCGTAGTAGTAGTAGTAGTAGTAGTAATAGGAACAGTGGTAGTAGTAGTAGTAGTAGTAGTAGTGGTAGTAGTAGTAGTAGTAGTAGTAGCAGTCGTAGTAGTAGTAGGTAGTAAGTAGTAAGTAGTAAGTAGTAGTAGCAGTAGTAGTAGTAGCAGTAGTAGTAATAGTAGTAGCAATAGTAGTAGTAGTCGTAGTAGTAGTAGTAGTCGTCGTAGCCGTAGTCGTAGTCGTAGTCGTAGTCGTAGTCGTAGTCGTAGTCGTAGTCGTAGTAGTAGTAGTAGTAGTAGTAGTAGTAGTAGTAGTAGTAGTAGTAGTAGTAGTAGTAGTAGTAGTAGTAGTAGTAGTAGTAGTAGTAGTAGTAGTAGTAGTAGTAGTAGTAGTAGTAGTAGTAGTAGTAGTAGTAGTAGTAGTAGTAGTAGTAGTAGTAGTAGTAGTAGTAGTAGTAGTAGTAGTAGTAGTAGTAGTAGTAGTAGTAGTAGTGGTGGTAGTAGTAGTAGTAGTAGTAGTAGTAGTAGGAGTAGGAGTAGGAGTAGCAGTAGTAGTAGCAGAAGTAGTAGAAGTAGTAGAAGTATTAGTCGTGGTGGTAGTAGTAGCACTAGTGGTGGTGGTAGTAGTAGTAGTAGTAGCAGCAGTAGTAGTAGTAGTAGTAGTAAGTGTATGGTTGTGGATGTTCTTCGCGCCCTTGCGAGGCCATCGCGAGGCCACCTCGGAGGAGGCCAGCTCTCTAGCCTAGGCCGCGACGCGTTAAGCACGATATTCGCGTCCCTGGGGTGACCGAGTCTCAGACAGCCGCCGAAGGCCTCATCCTCCCGCTCCTCCTTGTCCTCTTCCCTCCTCCTCCTCTTCCTTACCCTCCCCCTCTTACCCTTCCCTCCACCTCCTCCCACTCCTCCTGCTCGTCTTCCTCCTCCCCTCCTCCTCCTCCTCCTCCTCAGCATCATTGTCATCATAACTTTCATCACCATCATCATCATCATCATCATCATCATCAGCAGCAGCACTATCATCATAACATCCGCATGCTCGTTGTAGCTGTACAAATGTCCATAGGAGCAGGGAGTAATAGTAGCAATTGTAGTAGTAATGTCAACAACAGTAGCGCCGTAGTGGTCGTAGTAGTTGTAGTAGTAACATCAGTAGTAGCAGTAGCAGCAGGAGCAGTAGTAGTTCTAATAGCTGCACTCGTACGAATAGCAATAGCAGCCAC